CCCCACTCAAATAATCCCTGGCATTCAAGGGTCTTCACAGCTAGCCTGCCATCTCACAGAGGGCTCCCTGAGGATCGTCTCCTGCAGCTGCAGGCCCTGCTCGCTCCCTCCTTAGCTCTCACATGACCATGTCTTTGCCTTGTTGTTTCCTCTGCCTGGGATCCCATTCACTGACTGGTAAATTTCTCCCCACCTTCTAAGTCCCAGATCAAGGGCCATCTCCACTGTCCAGACCTCTCCTCCATCCTGAGGTCTCACTTCTGAGAGTCCACCACACCCCCTATGCCTCTCCCTAAAGCCTGGTCCATGCTGCACTCTGGTCATTCATTGCTATGGACTGAGTCAATACCTCAGAGTGTGGCTGCATCTGGAGATAGGACCTTTAGTCTTATAATTAGGTTAAAATGAGACTGTTAGAATGGGCCCTAATCCTATATGACTCGTGTCCTTATAAAAAAGGAGATCAGGACACGAGATGCCTGGGGCACACGTACAAGGGGAAAGGCCATGTGAGAACCCACGGAGAAGGTGGTAAGCCCAAGAGAGAGGCTCCTGAGACACCTGGATCTCAGACATCCAGCCTCTCAAACTGGGCAGTACATTTCTGCTGTTTAAGCTACCTGGTCTGCAGGGCTTTGTTCTAGCAGCCCTAGCAGACTAGTATACTCGTGGGCAGTTCCTCTCCCCTGAGAGATGGTCTGCGTGGGGCTCCCAGGCTGGGCCAGAAATAGCACTGTTGCCCTTGGCCACTGTGATTAGTTTGGGAAGGGTACACAACCGAAAGTCAAGCCCCATTAGCTGGTCCAATCCGAATGAATCTTAAAACTTCTGCAGGTGCTCCCAGAGAAAGGCCAAGGCCTGGGGGCACTTGAACCTGGAAGTTGTGGCACTGGAGGTGCAAAGGCCATCCTGCTGCCCCAAGAGGTGGCCCTGGGGTTGCTGGATGCCAAAACTACCTCTGATCCAGCCCATCCCAAAATTAAGCACCTTCCCCTGGCACTCCAGTTCCGTAGGCATACATGAGTCCCCCTTTCACCAGAGGCGGCTTGAATTGGCGTTCAGTTTCTAGCAGGCAAGGGGGCCTTGCCTGGTACATGCCCATTGTTGCCCCTCAGCTCTATGCAGGAAACCAGAATGCTCAGAAGGGAACCAAGCATGGGACGAAGAACTTTTCCTCTTCAGTCACAGAGCTCCAGTTGGCATCATGTCCACTCTGAATACAATACTATGCTTCCCAGCTTCCCTTGCAGCTAGGTGTGGCCATGTGACTAAGTTCTGGCCAATGATATGTAAGCAGAAGTATGGGGTGGAGCTTTGGGAAATTTCTCTTTAAAGGCAGGCAATGGGTCCTGTTGTTCAAAGTCAGGACTTGATGGCCACAGCTCCAAATGCGGAAGACCACAGCCCTGATCCTCACCCCTACAAGACAGCCCTTGTTAGTTGGTCATCCCCAGAAAGTTGCAACCTGATGGGGGTGAGAGCACTGGGGAGGAGCCCAGAGATCCTAAATGTGATGCTTGCTTCTTGATGTCCTGGAGCAGGACACCTGTCTACATATGAGGAAACCTAAGCTCAGGGGGTTTCAGACTGTCAGGGCTTGTCTTGACTCATATTCCTCTTCCCACTGCTACCACCCTAGAAGCCCAGGCCAGGGTGACTCCCTCCTTCCTAGTAAGCCTTTAGGTTGTCACCCTCTCTCCTATCTGGCCCTTGGTTTGTCATCCTTCCTCCCTCCTAGCTGGCCTTTAGTTTGTCACTCTCCCTCCCTACTGGCTGGTGGCTTTCAAAGCGGGTCTCCATGGCTATCACAGGCTGAGCCACCATCACCTCCTTCCTGGAAGAGTCAACCAGACTCCTGACTCCCACTGCCACCCCACCCTACAGTTCGTGCTTTTTCTAGCAGCCAGAGTGATGCTGCTAAATCCAAAGTTGGATGCTGTCCTTCCCTTACTGTCGCCCCTTCAGGAGGTCTCCATTCCTATGAAGGGAAATCCAGACGCCTGCCCTGGCCGGAGGGATGTTGCACCATCCACCTCCTGGCTCCCTAAGCCTTCCCCTTTAGCCTCCCTCACTCCACTTCAGTCACCCCAGCCCCCTTGCTGTTCCTCAAGCCACCCCCAAAGCATGTTCTACCTCAGGGCCTTTGCACCTACTGTTCCCTTTGCCTGACATGCTCTCCCCACAGACATGCCCATACCTCACCTCCCTCACAAATCCAGAGCCCTTCCCTGGCCACACACACTGGAACAGCCGTCTCCAGCCACAATGGACACCCAATAAGTTGGTGAATGCATGAATAAATCAACAAGTATTATAATGAATTGAACTTATACCCACTCTTTCATGAATATTCTAAAATTCCTGTTGGGTTGAATCATATTATGTTGCCATTTTTGTGGGCCAAAAATCATTGCATAGTGACAATTCCATGAGTTCAGCCTATCCTCTGGCAGTCACTCACACACTCAAAATCCTCCAGCAGCTCCCACCCAGAAATTCAAACTTGTTACATTTGTATCTGTATCTGGCTACGTACCTCCTGGCTCCAGCTCCTACTTCCTTCTAGGCTCCCCAGGCCAACTGTCCTAGCATCGCTGTCCCATGGATTTTCTTGGGCACCTTTCTTTGCTGAAATTTCCCCAGCCCCCTCTGCCTGCCAAGCCCAGTAGAATGCCTCTTGTCAGTGGACTCTGCTCCTCACGGGTGTGCCCTGGCAGTGTTCCTCCCCAGCCTCACTTCTACAACCCTGGCCAGCTGGGGGCTGCTCAACAGGAGGGGCTCCTTGTCCAGGCACTGCCCTGCACTGCAGCCCTCCTGCCGCGCCCCGGACCTCTGTGGGGACTATTCCAATGCCAGCTGATGTACTGGCTGTTCTGAGACCGAAGGTTGTACTGGAATGAACCCAGTCCTGAGAGACCCTGCCACTCACTTTTTTTGACTTGGGTGAGGCCCTTTTGAGCCTCAGTTTCCTCATCTGTAATATCTTATATATTGGAAGCCACAGGTTGAAAACAATGCTGGAGCCCAGGCCGGGGTCCCAGGAATGGGGTGTGTGTGTGTGTGTGTGTGTGTGTGTGTGTGTGTGTGTGATGTCTGAGTAGAAGAAAGCACAAAAACCACAGGTGACAGCAAGGGAAGCCTCACAAGACAGATTTGGCAGCCTAACTGGAGTCCCAGTGTTGATGCCACTCACTATGTGACCTGAGACAGTCCCATTCTCCCTCTGGACCTCTGTTTCCACCTGATAACTGAGCCCGAGGGTTGGGAAGAGGGAGAAGCAGGGAAGATGGTGGAAGGCACAACAAAGACCCTGGAAAAGGCTTACCTGTGGAAAGGCCCTCTGCCAACTTCACCAATGACCCAAGTGACACCAGTGACCCTGGGTATCAGTGGGTGGCATTTGGGTCACTGCTTGCTGGTTTGCACCTCTGTCGATAAACTATCGGGTGGTATGGATTCGACCAGAGACCTGGCCCTCACTGGGAGTCTAGAATGCAAGTCAGTGCCCCTGCAGGACCCCATACTGAGATCCTGCCTGCAGTCCCATATGGTGTGAGTAAGAAGGCACTCACAGAATATGGGGGCAAAACCAGGCCTGCTGCAGGCTGGCTGAGGCTGTGCTTCCTTCCAAAAGGCAAGGGGAAGAAAGTGTTCATGGTAAGCATGGGGGTGGAGCCCTGCCCTCATGAGGCTGATATTGCAAACCAGTTGGGAATGGATTCGGACAGTGTGGAGTGCTTGGCTGAGGGGGTGCAGCTTTGAGGTGAGAGGGGACTTTTGATAGGTGATCAACAGGGCTCTAGAAGACAGTGTGAGGGGCACGGGGGTAAGGAAAGGAGCTAAGGCAGAATGAATGGGTGGTGTCCAGTGTGTAGTGTTTGGGAAAAAGGACAAGGCCAAGTGAGCAAGGCGAAGGGGGAAGATGGAAGCAGAGGCAGGCGGAGGTGAGCAGCAGCCAGATGAGCAGGAGGATTTCATTCTGATGCAGGAAAGCCTCCAGAGGGGTTTAAGCAGCGCAGTGACATGATCTGATTTCCATTTTAAAAGGATGATCCTGCCTGCTGGGTGCAGAAGGGTCTGCCAGGGATGGCCGGGGGCAAAAGGGAGATGACATGGGGGAGCATGGATCAGCCTGGGAGCCCAGATGTGACAGCAGTGTGACATGAGGGGGAGGCAGTGGGGATACCCAAAGATATCCGAGGCTGACCTTGCTTTCAGGAAGTTCACGGTGCAGAAGCGAGCCTGCGGCTGTTTCTGGTCCCCTAACACACATGCACACAGGCCAGAAGACACACAGCGTGGCCTTCCCCCACTGACCAGGGCCTCCTGGAGACCAGCATTGCTCTCTCTGTCACCTTTTCTATGGACTTGTGTTATAATTGCTTCCGATGTCAAATGTGTGTCTCAAAACTCTGTGTGTATGTGTGTGTCTGCAGGCACTATTCCCATAAGACAATTGCAGAGTAAAAGTCCATAGGAGTCCAGCGGATCACGTCACAGGACTGTGCAGGCTGGGTAGCAGTAGGGAGTGGTGGGGACTGCGGCAGTGAATGGGTTGACTATTCACTGCTACAACTAAAGGGAGCTGTGTTCTCAGTTTCAGTACTTTGCAACCATGCGGGTACACATGTAAATTATGAGTAGATCTGTCTACTTTTCAAAAGAAGCCAGAAATTCCTATTTTTTAGGTGTAACAACAAGTTTTAAAGTTTGGGCTTCAATTCAAAACACAACATTAGCACTGTGTGTATCAGAGGTTAGCATTCGGGTCACTGGTTGCCGGTTTGCACCTCTGTCAATAAACAGTTGGGCGGGTATGGATTCAACCAGAGACCTGACCCCCATTGCAAGTCCTGAATGCAAGTGAATGCACCTGCAGGACCCTATACTGAAGGGCATTCTAGCAGGGGTAGGCGAGGGAGTTCCAGAAGATACCCGAGGGTATTCTGGTCTCCCTATGGTCTGTAAGACTCTGCTGGGGTGTTTGGGTGAGCACATACCCACTTTGAGCTCCTTCCCGAAGACGGTGCGCTCCCCCAGTGCAGAGCAGTTCCAGCGGCCATTGCGGAACTGAAACTGACACTCGTCCAGGCCCATTTGTGAGCCTTCTCCTATGACGATGATGGCGTCGGGCCGGCTCTGGCAGATCGCCCGCTGTCTGGGAGCCAGGCCTGGGATCTTGTTACAGATGATGCTTGCGCCCAGAGCTACCACTGAGGAGAAGCCACTGGAGAGAGAGACACAGACAGATGGAGCGTTAGGCCAGCAAAAGGGCATGGCCTAGGGACCCTTCCTAGGTGTCCAGCCCTGGCCACCCCACTCCCCCCAGCAGTGGTCTCCCAACTTTTTTATCCTGTACCCCTAACTCACGTCCATTCGCCTAGAAACCCTACAATTTCTACATAGGCTCTTGTATCAATGCGTACACTCAATATCAATGAAACTTGATTTCCTTTGTGGAAACAAAAAAAGATGATGTATGTCACAAACATTATGTTGAGTGAGAAAGGCAAGTTGCCTTTGAGTTTATGGTAGGATGTAATTGAGATGAAGTTCAAAAACATGCAAAAGAAGCCCTGTATTGCTAAGGAATTATCTCTTTGGCAAAATTGTAAAGGCAAGCAAGGAAATGATGACTTTAAAGTTTCATGCAGCAGGTGCCTCTGAAGGAGGGATGGGTGCACTAATGTTTGTTAAAAAATCTGTTTTTTAAATGTATATGTAACATATACTCTCATGTATACATATGCTTTATTATCGAAAATACCTTAAAAAGTAATTGTAAGTAGAAGTCCTGGCATTTTCCTCCTGCTGCCAATGGAGTACGTGCATCCCACTCCGGGCACCACTGGCTTAAAGGATGTGTGTGACTATTATGAGGGGAATTCTTATTTTCCTCAACTCACTCACTGATATATATGGGATATCCATCATATGGCAGGTACCATGCTGGCAGACAGCTTGCACCTGACGGGCAAGACCCTGCCCTCAAGGAACTAGGGAGGGTGACAACACAGGTGTTAAAAATGAATAAAACAGGCCATCTCTGACAATGATATGCACTATGAAGAAAGTAAAGGAAGATGGTGGGATGGCAACTAGAGTGTGGGGGTGGTGAGGGAAGTGGGAGCCACTTTAGCTGAGGTGATCAAGGAGGATTTCCTTGAGAAGGTGACATTGGAACAGAGATCTGAATGGCCAGAAGGCAGCTGTGGGAAGATCTGGAGAAGTGTATTCTGTGCAGAGGGAACAGAAAATGCAAAGTTTTAGGAGGGAGACAAGCTTGGGATCTTCAAGGAATAGAGGCTGATGCAAAACTGGGGCTTGAGAAACAGGGAGAACCTGAGGAGGGGAGATGGCTGAGGGCTGGCATTTTCTGAGGGCATCAGGCAGGATCAGGAAGCACTGAAGAGTGTAAGCAGGACATTAGCATGACCTGGTGGTCCCCGCTCCATGTAGGAAAGGCCTGTGCAGTGCCAGGGCAGGAGCAGAGGGACCAGGCAGGCTAAGGGTGGTGGTGGCTTGGCCTGGTGGCAGTGTTACAGCTGCAGGTAGAGCCACTGGGCAAGTGCCTTGTCCTGGGGCTCAGCTGTGGGCAGTTGTTCTGGAATTGCAATTTGTTACAGTGAGGTTCTGTATCAATAACTTCCGGAGGTGAAGTAGACCCACACCCTACAAGCGCACAGCTGACCAGTCCTGCCCTGTTTCCCTAGGTTCCACCACTGTGCCAGCCTTCTCCCTGCAGTAGGCACTCCGTCCTTGCTGGCTCCTCTCCCTGGAAGAGCTCTCACCCCTGATCTTCATAAGCTTGGCTTCTTGCCATTATTCACATGACCTCAAGGGTCACCTCCCTGCCCAGCCCAGCTAAGGGAGCCTCCCTCACCTCCCTACCCCTAATAACTTTCCATCACAATCTCTGTTTTGTTTACTGGATATTCTTGATTACTCATGGTCTACTGAAATGTTTTCATGTATGTGTTTGCTTTTAATTTGCATGCTCACTTGATCACTTGTCTTCCTCCTGAGAGGATGAGCTCCTTGAGGGCAGGGAGGCTGTCTGCTGGTTCACTAAATGATGACTGAAAAAATGGATTGTGGCACTTCAAAGATGTGGCTCTGGGCGAGTACCTACTACATGGCAGGTGCCCCCAAATATGCATGAAATGCATCAGTAAACTTGAGCAGTGTCCCTACTATGTGCCAAGGCAGTATGCTGGGTGCTGCCACAAGCAGCAGCTCATGTGACCTTTCCACACAGCTCTGTGGGGCAGCAACCATCACACACATTTCACATATCCGAAAATTGAGGCTCACAGAGGTTGGGACCTGGAGGAAGGTCCTCAGCTAGCAGGTGTTGGAGGTGGGAGAGCCTGGCTTTGCATCTGCATCTCAGCCCTAAACCAGAGTCTAACACACACTAGAATGCTGGGAATGTCTGGAGAAGAAGCAGCATGAGAAGATTAAGTGGAGATGTTTTGGCGTCATTTGTCAGGAGGACCCTCTGAGCACCGAGCTGGCCACCAGGGCATTTCTACACCAGCAGAGAGTGGACACATTGGCACACTGGGGCCAAAAATTCATAGGTGTAATAGACTAGTCCCTAAGGCTCTGGCCTAGGTTCCCATCTAAGCTTCCCTCACTTACCAGCTGTGCCATCTTAGGCAAGCTTCCTGCCTTTTCTGCACTTCAGTTTCTCCATGGCTAAATTAGGGTATTGATAACTAGTCCCACCTCATTGGCTGCTGTGAAAACCAAATGTGCTAGAACATGGAAAGTGCTTAGAAGGTGCCAGGCACATAGTGGGTGCCCCATCAATGCGGTAGTGGTGTTGTAATTATCATTATTCTTACTGAATCTGATTGTTGTAATAGGCTAGTGCTGGAGTCACCTGAACTATCCGAGTAAAGTAAAAATACCACAGATGCCCCACCATCAGCCAGAAGCAGGTAGAATCCAGTCACATCTTGGGAACTGGAAAAACCCAGGCGTCAACCCTCATGCCCACTTTACAGATGAGTAACCCGAGGTGCAGGGAGCAGCAGTTCCTGACCCCGTCACCTGCAACTCCCACCTCCCCGACCTGGACCTGTCCCCACCCCAGAGGGCAGCTTGGGGCGGAAGGCCAGCGCCCTGCAGGACTCCCTCCCTTACTCCCTCCCTCCCGGGCAGCAGGGCCCCCGCAGGGCCAATCCGGGGAGGCCGCGGCGCTGGTGGGAGGGCGGCCCGAGGGCGGGCGGGGCGGCCAGGGGAGGTTATTTTCTGCTGTTTTCCCTTTCTCTCTCCCCCGCCACCCGGATCCCTCCTCCCTGTTTCTAATTAAAAAGGAGATAAAGCCGCACGCGGCCCGAGCCAATCGGCCCGACAGGCTTCCTGGATGCTGGATGTGCGCGGGGCGGCGGGGCGCGGGCCAAGATGAAGATTAAAGCAGGGGAAAAAAGAAAAGCCACACAGACGCGGGCGAATCAATAACACTTAAAACACTCCGGCAGGCTGGCAGTGCCCGAGCCCCGCAGCCGCCTCTCCGCGGCTGGTCGGACTGGCGGACCCTGGTCGGCTCCGCACGCACCTGCTAGCCGCCGCGGCCCGACAGCTTGCGAAATCCCCGCTCCAGAGACGCGGACTGGGAAGCGAAGGGGGAGAGATGGTGGGGGTAGCAGTGACAAAACACAAAGGATCTGCCACACACACCCCCTCGCCGCAGCCTTGCAGTCCACACTTCCCCAAAAGGAGCGGTAGCGGGTTCACCGCTGGGGGCTGGAGGGGCAGGGTGAGTGAGACCTACCAAGCGAGCCCTTCGGCGCCAGAACCTCTATCCATGCCTAGACGCCCCCAACCCCCACCGCTCCGAGCCTCACACCCATTATGTCTTAAATACAAAGGGTGACCGGCTTTGCACAAGCAGCCCCAGGACGGGTCCCGAGCTGCCCCCTCCCACCTTCCAGTCAGAGCGCCCCTGTGCCCCACCTCCACAGAAACGCTGGGTGAAGCCGGGGGGCTGCTCGAGCGCCCGGCCGCCTAGGCTGCCCAGTTCCAGGAGGCGGGGTGTCCCGCCTCTCTCTAGCGCTTGTCTCCCTGGGTGTCTCGGGCCGCCTCTCATCCCACCTTTGTGTGTGTTTGTTGGGGGGTGGGACGTGCTGTCCCCTTGGCCCGGGAAGGGGCTCTGGAAGTCTAAGGGTCCCTGGAAATTGGGTAGTGCCAAGGCTCCGAGCGGCGGTTTCTGTTTTTGTCAGCGAATGTCCTTTCCGAGGGTACCTGTTCCCTGTTTGCACGGACCGGCCCCGCCTGCCACCTGGGGACTGCCCAGTCTCTAGAGCGGCTGTGTCCGCGCCTCCGGAGAGAGTTCCTCACGGACTTCAGGGACTGAGCTCCCTGAGAGCGGCTGTGGTCCTGGCTTGGTGTTCCTGCTGGACCTGCTGCCCCTGTGAGCGGGTCCGAAGGGTAGCCGGGATGGGCTGAACCTTTGTAGCAGCTAGCCCTCCCCAGAGTCCCTCAGGCTGGAGCGTCCCTACCGGCTGTCTCTGGTCCTGGGTGATTCCAGACTCAGACGTCCTCAGGATGGCCAGTCCCCCTGCCTATATCTCCTGGGGCGTTCGCCTGCTGGGGGCCTTTGTGCGCCCACCGCTCCCACACCGCGCCCACCCGGCCTCTAGGAGAAGCTGTGGAAGTTGTGGCCCGCAGAGGCTCGCAGGCTGCACACCTCCCACCCTGGGCCGTGCCAACTTTGCCGAGACACGCGCGGAAAGGGCGCAGGCAGCCCTTACCCGATCCGGAGGTAGACCATGCCCAGGCTGAGAAAGAGGTGGCCCAGGCAGCGCCGCGCTTTCCGGTTCATAGTCCCTGCTGGCCGCCGGGGCCGCGGGCCGGGCTGTGCTGATCCCGCGGGCCGGCCCCGGCTGGGCAATCAACATAGCCCGCCCGGGAGGCGCGGGCCGAAGGGTCCTCGGGGCTGTCTGTCTGTGCGACCGTCCGCGCGCTCGGCGCCTTAGCCTCGCCAGGAGCGCGGGAGCCACGGAGCGGGAGGAGGGAGGGAGGAGCGAGCGCGGCGTGGGGCGACGCCGGGCTGCGCGCTAGCGACCGGTGCAAGTGTGTGAGACGCGGGGAGTGCGGGGGCGCTGCTACCTCCCGCCCCCGCCCCACCCTCCTTTCCCCTGTCCCTCCCCCGCCCCCTCCCCCGCCCGCCTCCCTGGAGCGCCCGCCCTGCACCCCTGCGCCCGCGGGACGGGACCGCCTGCACCAGGTGCGCGCTCATGCCTTTCCATGCGCGCTCCCGGGGGCCCCCCTCCCTGATCCGGGGTGCATGTGGGAGGCCGGGGAGCACAGCCCAGTTGGAGGCGGTAGGAGCCCTCTCGCCTCCACCCGTCACTAACTCACAGGTTGCGGGACGAGTGGGCGTCCGGAGGCTGCCCTCGGGTGGAGGGGACCAGACTCGGCCGAGAGCCCTAGTGCCTTGGTCTGCCCTCCCGCTACCTGAAGCCCGGAACAGGGAGTTGGGGCTGACAGGACACACCCCAGTTCCCCAACCCCAGCTTCAGGGGAGGGCACCCCCTTTTGCAGAGCGACGGGAGGACAGGATAACTGGCTCAGTGTATTTCTTCTTTACCCCCACCTATCGAGGGTGGCGGCAAGGGTGTTGCCCAGGTTAGGCAGTGTCCTCTGGAATCCTGCTGTTAGCTGACCGACGGAGTCGGGCTGAGGCCCAGTGGCCTCGCGCTGAACAGCTGTGGGGCGCCTGAGCCGCTGAGTGTGAGGGGCGCTACTGGCCGCTCAGAGCGCGCTCGCGGCGACACCAGGCGGACGCGGCGGGTGGTACACCTTGGTCTCGCTCCCGGGGACAGAATGCTTTGAGCTTGCTAGCCGACCGAGAGGGCTGACCCCCTTCTTTGGTGTACACCCCATTCAGTGAGCTAGGGAAGTCTAAATGTCCCTGGAAATTGGGTGTTGCCAAGACCCCGAGGGGCGGTTTATGTTTTTGTCAGTGAATGTCCTTCCCCCTGGGTACCTGTCCCGCCTGCCACCTGGGGGACTGCCCAGTCTCTAGGAGCAGCTATGCCCGTGCCTCCTGAGAGTGTTTCTTTCGGGCTCCAGGGACTGAGCGCCCTGGGAGCGGCTGTGGTCCTGGCTTGGTGTTCCTGCTGGAATTGGTGTCCTTATGCCCGGATTCGACAAACCTGGACTCAAGTTTTAGCTGAAGAAACTGAGGCTCAAGGAGTTGAAGGTGTTTGCCCAGAGTCACCAGCTGGCAAGTGGCACAGCTGGTGTGAAACAAAGTGTGCCCACCTGTAGTAACCTCCCAACCCCAGGCCTGCCTATCTTTCAAGATTGCCTTTCTAAATTACACACACACACACACACACACACACACACACACACACCTGAAAGCCACCATTCATGCATTCATTCACATTCCATATTCTGTGCCAATCATGATTGTGGGCACCGTGGATACAAGGAATAAGAAAGGCAAGAGTCTTTCCTCTTGGGGCCAGGGAATGGGAGAGGGAATACTGGGTGTTGGCGTGTACATTTAGATCTGAGGAGGTGGCATTTGAGCTGAGGCCTGAAGGACACAGCATCACGGGTCCAACACTGCAGGAAGGGGACCAGCAGGTGCAAAAGCTCACGGGTGGGCATGAGCCCCAGGGAGGACATGGTAGGCTGTGACAGAGAGAGAGAGAAGGCCTGGGCTTGAAGGGAGTAGATGGGGCTACACGATCCGCAAAGCTGTGTGGGCACATCAAGGAGGTTGGATTTCAGTGGTATGTTCAGTTGGGAGGCATTGGAGGGAGGAAGAAGGGGTGACTCATCTAATTTGTGTGTCCATAAGCTCCCTGTGGCTGTCCTATGGGAGCACAGTGTACGGATGGAGATAGGCCAGTAAAGTGCGCCATCAAGCAGACCAGAGAGGAGGTGGCAGCGGGGGTCCAGGTGAGAGATTGGTGGTTTGGGTTAGGGCGGTGCTTTTAGAACATGACCACAAAATTATTTGACCCTTCTCCCAGGAAGAGCTGGGTTCTCTGTGCTCTTCCTGCTTGAATCTGGGGGGAGGGGGGCTTGTGATGGCTTCCACCAATAAGGTGTAGTAGAAGTGATGCTCAAAAATCATAAGTCTTCACAATGGAAGACAGTGAATGCAGCAGTCTTTGTTTTGTTGGCTGGAGCAGTGGTGCTGGGGCCCCGAGCACCATGGAAGAGGCCTGGAGGCCACCATGCTGTGAGGAAGCCCAGGCATAGGCAGGGGCCACCTGTGCGTGATCCAGTCACAGTCCCAGGTGAGTCCAGCACTAGAGTCACCTTGCCCAGGTGCCAGAAATGTGGGTAAATGTAACCCCACCATCCTGTCATGCTGGCTTTGTGTCTGCCAAGCTAAGGCATGTTGGACGGTGTCTGTGTAGTATTCCCAGTGTACCCTGCCCAAGTTCCTGAACCTGTAACTTGTGAATATATTGATTGCTTTACACCACTAAGTTTTGGGGTGGGGGTGCTTGTTACACAGCAATTGTAACTGGGACAGTAAGGGTGAAAGTGGGGCACAGAGAGGAGAAGGGGACCTTGGACATAAGGTCTGTGCACTGATAAGACTTGAAAGGATTTAGGGGAGAGGGGGAGGAGTAGAGAAAGAGGAGGACAAGTGACCCGATGTTGACTGGAGTATTTGGGTGAATGGAGGTGCTATGCAGTGATGTGGAGATGGTTAGAGGAGCTAAGGGTTTGGTAAGGGAAATCAGTAGGCCTCTCATGGCCATGTTCTTCCCTCCTGCATTCTTCCTCCTCCTTTTCCTCCTCTTCCACCCTCAGACGCAGTCAGCACAAGCTCTGAGCAGTCTACCTCCAATGAATCTCTCAAATATGCCCTTTATTTTCTGCATTCACCATCATTCCTAAACCAAAGATTCATTCATGTCATGAATGCTGGGGTGTACTTGTGACCCGATGTCAGGGCAGGTGCTAGGCACATACCAGTGGGTCAGTGCAGGTGCTGCATGCATTGGAAGGCGAGAGAAAAGGAGGAGGAAGAAGAGGAGGAATTTGGGAGGGAAGAATATGGCCAAGACAGATCAGTAGATCAAATAAATCCAGTCTGTGCCCCTCCTGGGGCAACCCTTCTGAGGACTGATCTAATGATCAAATATGTAGGTAGCACTATTACATGCCAGGCACTATCGTTTGTGGCCTCAGCATATCAACTCGCTGAATACCCTGAAATGCCAAGAGATAGGTGCTCCATTTGTTGATATATCACAGCCATCATTATTTGATTGTATGAGGAAAGTGAATCAGGGAGGCATTCAATAAATTATCAAATTCCCACAGACAATGCATGGCTGAGTTGGGCTTCAAACCTAGAGAATGTTGACCTCAGCATCTGTTCGTAACCCACCCCACCCCGTCCCATTAGGCTGCCCATCTAACGGAGGTGGGGGGAAGACTTGGGACACTCCAACAGGAAATAAGGTATTAGGCACCAAGATGTGTGGTGCACAAAGGGCCATTGGAACACAGAGGAGTTCCTCATCCAGTCTCAGTGGATCAGGGAAGGCTTCCTGGGGGAAGTGTTCCTAAAGTGGGAAGCGAAAAATATGAGTTGGTATTAAGCAAGTAGAGTTTTTGAAACCAGAGGAAACAGGACGGTGGAGGTTCAAGATGCCTGGAGATTGGGGGATTAGAGGGAATAAGGGTGGAAGGAGATGTTTAGGGAAGAGGCCCAAAAGGGAGTTAGGGACACAGGGCATATTAAGGGGGTAGGGGTGTTACATGATCAGGTTTATGTTTCAGAAGGTTCATGTGGCTGTCATGGGAGCCAACATAAGGGACAAGAGAGGAGGTCAAGTCAGGGGGTCTCAAACAGTTACCCGTGGGAGAGAAGGCTCAGCCTGGACAAGATGGTGGCGGATGGTGGGGAGAGAAGGGAGTGGATTTGAGAGTGAGTTTGAAGGCAGGGTGGACAGGATGGAAAAGGCCTTCAGGACAGTGTCCTGTCCTGTGAGAGTGTGGCTGGTGAGAAAAACACAGAGGGGGAAGCTAGGGAGCAGAAAGTCTCAGGGAGTGGAACTTGGTTTTGGGCATGCTGAGTCTGAAGTGTCTGCAGGTCACTGAAGGGTGACTGGTTCTTGGGGAGAGGCTTGAGGCTGTCACTTCTGGCTTGGATCTTCCCAGCTAGGTAGAAGTGGGCAGACATTCAAATCAAGGCGTGGAGAGGATATCCTGGGAGACCAAGAGAGATGAGTGGGGAAGGCACAGTGCAGAGCCCCAGGAATTCAGCATGATTTAAAGAACCAGCTGGGGAAATGGAGTGACTAACATTAACAAAGACAAGCCTGAAGGACAGGGAGTTCATCAGAGAGCCAGAGAAGGAAAAAGGAATTTGCAGTGTCTGGCTTCACAGGGAGGAAGGAGAGGCAGAACTCAAAAGGGTTCCATCTTATCAGCCTAGCATCGAGAGATCTTTGTAGTCTAGCTCAAAATTACCTTTACAGCCTCCACTTTCCCCAAACATTTGTGCCCGTATCACAACAAATTAGTGGGTTGCCACTAGCATTTATCAAAAAAAAATAGATCAGAAAATAACAGAGGGCATTATGTGTAAGGTTCCAACTCTGTGTGTGTGTTCATGTGTGTCTGTGTGTGTTGGATGTGTATGTGTATACATCACGGGTTGTGATTTTTTTAAAAGTTGAGAGATCACTTTTTAATAAGTTAAGAGAGCCTGCCATTCCTTTGCATGTGTCTAGAATGCCTTTAGGTGTCTTTGCTACCTGGCAAATCCCAACTTATCTTCCAAATCCCACCCAAATATCAACTCATCTGAAAAGCCTTCCTTGATCTGCATTACTCCTAGGCACTTGGTCTCTTGCTCATTCATTCAGTCATCAAACATTTGTTGAGGATTAAACTGTGCCGGGCCCTTGGCTGGGTTCAGTGCTGGGGTACAGCCATGAACACAGTGGACATGATCTTCGAAGGAACCACCTTTTAACGCATCTCTTCCTCTGTGCTCCCACCTGTCTTGTGCTGATCTGGCAGAGCCCTTCCCACCCTGAATGTTGTCTGGACTCACTCCCCTCTCTCCTCCATCAGGACATAATCTCCTTGTGGGAAAGATGCTGTATTCTTCATCTCTGTCCCCAGCACCCGGGA